CCGTGCGTTTCTATATCCGTGAACCATTCAGTATGTTTCACTAGGCTTCGCGAAACAAAAGCCAAGTTGAGACAGCTACTGTATGTGGAGCCACGTAAAAATGTAGGACTGCCGTCGTTCAGTAACCAAAGTTGGTTGTCGGAGGCAAAAGACACCAAGCTTCTGCCCTTCATGTTGGTATTCTGACTTCCCTATAATGTATGATGAGCGTTAAAATCCCCGATGATAACACACGGGTCAGGAGGTAACGCTATGATGTCTCGTAGTCTTTTTTGATCGAAACGGCTTGATGGTGATAGGTATGCGCCAACCACCGTGATGTTGAGCCTCCTCTTTTTCACTCTTAAGCATACGTATTGGTTTCCGTCATGAGGTGGTACAGGTTGAAAGATGTAAGTGAGGTCTCGGCGAATGTACACCAGAACCTTGCTGCTTTCACTAACAGTAGACGACATAAAAGGTTCGTATCCCGAGAGTCGTATTGCACTCGATAAGTTCGGCTCACAGATGACGATTACGGGAAACATATTTACGTACACAAATTGACGAAAGTCACCAATGCGCGAACTCATTCCCCTGGCGTTCCACTGCAGTATTGCTGCTTTACGAACCTCATCCCTGAAAGACAGTGGTGGGTTTGGCCATGGTTTACTCTAGGGCTGCTAGCACTGGACTAAGCGCGTCCAGTACTTGAAGGGCACTTTTGGCTGACGGTGTATTCATGTCGTTTAACAACATGCGAATGGTGTCCACTAATGATCTTAGCATCACCATCACGCGATGATCTGGCTTCCCGGCTGTTGCAGCATTTTGTGCTTGTTCTTGAGGCGGCTTCTGTTGAGGCTCAACAGGTCGTGTAGGCGGCTTCTGTTGAGGCTCAACAGATCGTCTAGGCTGAAGGAGTGGCCATTCCTTTGGAGAGAGAGGTCTTCCGGCATCTTCTCTTTCAGCGCAGTTGTTTGCCGTGCTAGGAGCCGCGCTTGTCGATTTCACCTGAGTTTCTGACTTTGTCGTCAGATTTTGCACTGTCCTTCGTGAGGACCTTCGACGATGGCGGCGCCTTCGCCTTACTTTTTGCGCAGCTTCTCTGTGAGTTGAGTGGCCCCGCCGCGGTGGTCTAGTGGCTAAGGTACTCGGCTGCTGACCCACAGGGTGCGGGTTCGAATCCCGGCTGCGGCGGCTGCATTTCCGATGGAGGCGGAAATGTTGTAGGCCCGTGTGCTCAGATTTGGGTGCACGTTAAAGAACCTCAGGTGGTCAAAATTTCCGGAGCCCTCCACTACGGCGTCTCTCGTAATCATATCGTGGTTTTGTGACGTTAAACCCCACAAATCTGTGAGTCGAGTTGTCTCGCACCATTTGCCTCAGAATATAAATCTCTTTCTTAATCTGAGGACAGTCCTTGGAGGAAGCACTGTGAGCGCCTTGACAGTTGGGGCATTTCAACGTAGTTGCATTACAGTCGTCTTCTGAGTGGTGTTCAGCGCATCGGGGGCACACTGCGGAATTTCTGCAAACGCCCTGCACGTGGCCAATCTTCTGGCACTTGAAACACTGCATAGGCTTTGGAATAAATGGGCGAACCTGGTGACGGAAATGGCCAACCTTCACGTAAGAGGGAAGACAGTCACCCTTGAATGTTATTCGCACACAACGAGAGTTGCCTAGGCGACCAGCATGCACAATGACGTTGTTTTCGCTCACTGGTTTTATCAGTACAGGAAGATCTTCATTGGTGATTTCAGTGTCTATGTGATAGATAACTCCTGTTACGGTGTCACCATTCGCTGGTATGATGGATCGGGCTTTGATGTTTCCCAGCTCCGACACATGCTGTAGCGTGTTCAGTGCACTCGGGTTCCTCACGTCGATTGCCAAAATATTCTTCCTCGTGTTTATCCTGATGTCCTTAATCTCGTTAGGCACAATGTTTTCAAGGTACAAGGACAGTGCTTGCCTGTTGAGGAAGCGTAGATTGGCAGTAGTAGTCTGCGGCACAAACAGAATGGAGTGAGGCCATCGCTGAGGAGCTGTCCTCACAGTGGCTGTACTTGATGCCGATGATGCGTTCATGATTCTTCGTTTGGCTTTGCGGTAGAGCACAGGTTCGAAGCCGTCTTCCGAGGACTCGTAGCCTGATGCAGAGTACGGCTCGGTGTCCTCGCCCTCACTAGATGGATTACCACGCTTTCTTGAAGCAATGCCCGTGGATGAACTGGTACCGGGCGGGATCTCCGGGGATTGTACATCCATGACCGCAATGTAGGGGGCTGGAGACCCCGCTGTTGCGCTGTGGAACGCAGAAAATACAGCACAGACCGAAAGATGTGTTCCACAAGAGAATCACTTCGTCTTTCTGTCACTGCCTATGTGATTTGGGTATGGTCCTCTGGGTAGCGGGAAACAGGCAGATGAGGGAAGAGGACGTTCGGCTAGTGAGATAGGCCTCCGGTGCACGACACCTTCAAGTCTACCGGTACGCCACAGCGTAATAAACACATTTCTAAAAGTAACAGTATTAAAAAAAGCAAATATGCGCGCAATCTGTGTCGTGTTTTTAAATGCACTTAACATACCACGCGTGTGTAAGTGTAATGACGGTTTTATTTTTAGTTATTTTAGACGTGGTCTGCCACTTCGCACTTGCCCGAGGTGAGATGGGATTGATTGATATGTGGGGTTTAACGTCACAAAACCACTATATGATTATGAGAGACGCCGTAGTGGAGGGCTACGGAAATTTTGAAAACCTAGTGTTCTTTAACGTGCACCCAAATCTAGCAGACGGGCCTACAAATGGCAGACTTGGAACATATGTTATTTTTGTCCGGTTGTCCTTAATAAAGCTTTCCCTCCCCTTTTCAGATCTATTTTTGAGTAAGCGTTATAATTCTTAACCAGATATTTTTGTGCCACAAAGTCAACAAGGTCTGTGGCTGATTACCATCTGGGCCGTTATCTGCGTTAGGAAGCGTTATTCTGTTCTTGGGCGTCACTATGTGGTATATATATCATCCTCGACTTCTACTCGCACTGATGTTTCAAACTGAATATAAACATTCTTTCCGGCTTTACGCATCTTCAAAAAGCACTGATATGTGTTTCATTTGTTGCATTCTTTATGTATGACTGTCGTGTATTCCAGCGTTGTCGGAAAGCATGTCCTTGCTAAATAAAAGCACTTCAGTACAAACACACACATACTATGTAAATATCTAAGAAATGTTTATTTGCCTGCAAAAAAAAACACTACGAACAACTTTGATAATAGTGCGTGTTTTTGAAGTATCATTACTTAATACCTTTTGGAGACTAGTGCACCAGAAATATCCATTACACGACACCTAAGAAACATTAGATGATATGTGTTTAAAAGAAGTGTTAAACGATTTCGAGTACTGTGTACTCGACTATGTGTCATGAAATGCATACAATCCTTCCCGTAAGTTATTATCACAGTGTGATTACACGAATTCTGATAGGACCTGCTTCTTTCTTGCAAGGACGGCTTCCGAAAACAGTTATGAATATTAGGCTATAGTAACAGTGTACTTCCTTTCTCACGTGATTCAATTCTGCGCATTTCAAAACTGAGTGAGATTACCAGGCAACTGAGCCTTCATAACTGTACTTTAGCATGTATCACATGTTAGCATGTATCACATGTTAGCATGTATCACATGTTTGCGTTTATTTCTAGTTGGAATAATTATTTAGAAGTATGCAGATTTGTGTTGATGAATCGTGTGAATGTTATGCATTTTAATGCATAGTGATGTGTAATATTATTATTATTATTATTATTATTATTATTATTATTATTATTATTATTATTATTAGTAGTAGTAGTAGTAGTAGTAGTAGTAGTAGTAGTCGTAGTAGTGATCGTAGTAGTAGTATTAGTAGTAGTAGTGTAAAACTTTATTATGTACATAAACCCAGACAGGCTAGAACTCCAGTGCCCCGAAGAATATACAGGGTGAAGAGCGTAGTCTGTCTAGCAGGGTGGTTCCAGGGCCCCACTGGCACGAGCTATCCGTTCTGCTCTGTGGATCAGTCGCAGCTGATCCACCAGGACTGGGCTAGACAGCAGCGCCTCCCATTCCTCTCATGTGCCATTGGTGTCGTGTTCTTTGTCGTGCTCCCCACACTCCCACGTGATGGGAAAGAGTGTTGGGGTGGCTACACACCACGGGCATATGTCTCTGTACGCCATGGGGTAGACCAGGTGAAGAGTGTGCTTATTTATGTTAGTGTGTCTGTATTCTTCTTAGCACTGTGGCCTCCGCAGCGATGAGCTTGCTACGTGGACATAGATAGAGCTGCCTATTTTTCTTGTTGTACATAAGAATCGTTGTGAAACAAAGGTCCAGGGTTGTGGGGTCCTCTATTGCATTGTCTTGAGTAGCCTGGTGATTTTTAAAGCCTCGAGCCGGCTCGTCCGCATGCAGGTTCCCTGTCACGCCCCCGTGCCCTCATGCCGAAGCCAATGTCTGTACGTATTTTACTGTGGGGTCCCATTCTCTCCCAACCAATATCCGGAGCACCTGTGTTTCAATTCGTAGAGACACAGCGAAAGGTGGAATCTATTATTGTATTTTGGCATTTTCATCAAACTTATGACAATCCTGTGTTCGCAATAATGGCTTGTCAAGGTGTACCACAACTGCAACACAATTCATGTGCCTTTGCTGCTGTATTCGCCAACACGAGGAGGGGGGGAGGGAGGGGATAACAACACGGCGCCATCAAGCCGTCCTTGAATGTTTTTCGCTTCGCTTCCCGTCTCATACGTTGCGATAAGAGAATCAATCAAACGATCAATCGATAAATCAACCTATCAGTTAGTCAATCAATTTCTTAGGGCAACCTTCACTTGGGATACAACCGCTGAACGCACAGCGAACACCGCTGCTTCCCATTCACACGTGTCTCAGATCACTTAGAGATGCCATTTGAGTTAGGCAGCCTTCTAATGCGAATCATTGCGCACATTTCAGGTCGGTACAGCATTCTGCCCACTGGGGAGCTTTACGTGCGACACGTGGAGTCCGGAGATCGCCTGAGAAGCTATCGCTGCAAAACGAGGCACAAGCTGACAAATGAAGTCGTCACGAGCGCTTCGTCGGGCAGGCTCATCATTCAAGGTAAGAGTAGCACGGTGTGCTCCATTACACTGCGTGATCATTTATACGACCTCTAATCTTTCACCATATCAAGGGGGTCTTGGTAAGTGCGATCATAAAGGCTTTCACTTGAAGCGTCACAAGAGGGAGTGGGAAGGAAAGTAAAGTGATTTTACTTCTTGCCCTCAGCGTCATGTGGAAGCGGCACAAGCAGCAGCCATTTAGCTAGCAACAACGTGAAATATGCTTGCCTTGCAGTTTGAGACTGTGGCTTTGCGCAGGTGCAAAGAATTGACTGCACATGAAGTAGTTGAATCGTTCCCAATGAAATGTAAAGGAGCAGCACGTATTAGCATGTCATAGCCAAAGCTATTAAAGTTAGCTTCTATCTCTGAACCGTTAAGTATAACCCTTATAGCTGAGCGAGTAACCAATATAATTTGATTTAACCAGTTTTGTCACTGCACACGCGCGCCTTTATAGGTCATGATAACCATTTCAAGGTATATTCGTCTGTTTTCACACTAAACCAAATGTCCTGGCACTCAGTGCTTATCCTGTGCCCATTTTTTTTTTCTTTTTCTCAGTTTTAACTGTAAATATGTGCCGACTGGCTTAAATTCAGACGCTATTGGTTACCTTGTCTGTGTGAATTTGTGTGTGTGTTGGAGGGGGGGGGGGAAGGGTGAAAGGTTGAGGTAGTGGCAGCGCAGAAGCCCGGAGATACAAACGATTACAACACCAAGTAATTGAGTGATACTGTACCGAATGGTGTGCCTTCAAACCGGTGTTCTTCCTCACGCCACCTGTGTTCGTAAGAATGCGTGATGCGAACAGAATGCGGCCTATGTCACGAGCTGCTAGACAGTACTATTCAATACTGACTGTCTGTTGAACAATCTCATCAGTAAAATGAAACCATACAAATCAGATCTGTTCAGTTGCAAGACCTCCCCCCCCCCCCAAAAAAAAAGAAGAATATTGCTCAATCTACAAAATTACGGTGACAACTTTCTAATCACCATAACTTCACCTATTAATATTAGAATTTAGACATAGTCGTCACGGCAAAAGACTAGCGAATTCGGCAAAAACAATATGCTCCAGAAATTTTCGTGAGCTCAAATATTTTTCGTTTCCAACGAATAATAAAATCTAAGCTTTCAAATGTAACGTTCTTTTGATAACGCGAAATCAGGCAGTGCTTGCATTTATTCGTTCGATTCTACGCTGCAGAACCCCAGGGTGCTGCCTCTCCCAAGATCACCGACAGCCACCCTTTTGTCCATGCCGTCGAGGGACAGGATGCTGTGGAGTTGGCCTGCGCTGCTCAGGGCTATCCAATTCCATCATACCGGTAAGGGGAGACACAAGTCTTTCAATACTATGACAAACGCTTTTTATGAGCTGTTGCACTTCCAGTTGTCAGACACTGCAACAGCGTGACGGCATGTAAACGATAGTGTAGCTTAGAAGTGGGGGGATTTGGTTGGTTGAGCTCGTCTTCTTGTCTCTTTATTTGTTGCCGTACTGAACCCGCACTATAACGATAATGTAGCGCCTAGTTCACTATAGTGCAGGGTTCAGGACATAAATGGATCCTGAAAGGGCCCTTATGATAGTGAGCACTCTATTCTCAAACAAGCTTCGACTTGAATTTCGTCCTTCACTTGACCGAGTTGAGTACTGCGCTGCTGCTCCATTGAAAATGACGCCGAGCTCCTCAAGAATCACTGAAAATTATCGCTGATATGTAGCGAACTGTTCTGCCTTAAGAAGGTCCTCCCGTCGACTTTCTTTGAGCCAAGTTAAAGCGTTGAGTGAAGGGATGTTCTAGAATACAAGGGTGTGAATTCAAAGACATGAGAGTGAGTTCTTTCTCGCCTTCAGTACGTGCGTCATGTCCTCCTCACCTCTTATTCCTTCATAAAGCACGTGAACAATGAATGGCAGCGCTAAACATAAACCCTGAGAAAATTTCACGCTTTTAGGCTACGCGCCGTTCTCTCCTCTTGTACAGTCGAAAACGCACAAAACAAAGCGAAATCAGGTGGTTGCGCATGATGGTGACGTGAGACAAGGCAGACAGAGCGTGCGACTGCAAGGAAAAGCAGAGTTGGAGGAAACTCACAGCTTATATACCTCATATATGTACCAATCGAGAGCTTATTTCCTGAGGATGTCTCGTGATCAGACTGCTCGCGCCATAAACTGTGCCGAAAAAGTGGCAAGCGCGCGGAAAGAATAACGTTCTCATTTTGTTTATGTTGAGGCCAATGTTTGAAGACTTGTGTTTTCTTGTGTTTTTATCTTGTGTTTTTTTGTGTTTTCTTGTACACTATACACGTTATAAGGGCCCAAAAACGGGCGCAGGATAAAATATCATTACAAGATTTATTTGTGAAAACTGATGTTGTTTAGACAACGCATCAAACGCACAAAACGAATAAGAAAAATGCCAGATAGGGGTATTGTTGTCCTAGGAATATGGGTCTGAGAAGCTCTTTAGGGGCAAGCAGACGAATGGCTGTGTGGTAGAGTTTGTTTAGGGGCCTTTTAACACATCTTCGTTTTGAATGATAATGTTGGTTTTGGAATAACGGTCTAAGCGATTGTTTGGGGGTCCATTACCGCATCTTGGTTTTTAACATGAAACTGTTGTACGCCGGAATCCACCGTCACTTCAGTGACGCATATTCGCCACTGAAATGACTTCAAAAAAAAAATGCACACGATCAGATCGCAAAAAAAAAAAAATGTGTCACCAGGAAATAAAAATAAATGTTTCGTGACCCCTAGATAGCATGCCCGGCAGCTGAATAGCTGCCGGGCATGCTATCTACTGCGCCATAGTCATATTTTTTTCCTGCATTCTCGGGCGGCTGTAAAAACGCGCCTTTCATATTCCACACTTTCCCCACCAGTGTTCTTGGTCTGCGATGAAGTAATGAATCATGACCCTGACCCCCGCGATTAGCTCCTGAAACGCGTCTCTGCTACGCGTCAGTCATATTCCGCTCGTTTTTGAAAGGCGAGTGCAATTTCGTCAACGCCTTAACTCACTACGAGGTGGTTACCTCTGCCCGAGGGTCGGTTTCACTCATAGCATTCCTCCATGCCAAATTAGCTTTGCGACGCGTACCTGCCTCTCCTGGCTGTAACACGACATTTCACGCTAACGCTCTCAACGAGAAATCCGCTACAGGCTACAGAGAACACGCGACGTGCGTAGCGCTTCTCTCTAGCCCTGCCGTGGTGTTCAACTCTAACATGCCACGGAATGACGGCTTTAGCCGAAGTCACCGGGTAAGCTAGAAACAATTCACCTTACACCGTGACCCATGTTCTGCGTCCAGTCAGCGACGCTCTTCAAGCTGTCACAACACTATCTGTGATTACGCTTTTAACGTTTACTACTACAACTAGCGCAAGTGTTCGTTTAACCATTGATCGTTTACATTAGTCGTCGGGATGAAGATATATGCCACGAAGCGTCAACGTGGATGCATGCACGTTCAAACACCAATAATCATTGTGCAAGATATCCTATGAAGTCCCCATGCCCGCAAGACCAACTCGTCAGGAACATCATACACTCATGCAAGAAAGCCTGCGACTTCCATCACCCCATTGTTCTGAAGTAAATACCTGTCCACTGTGGAATACAAGGCAACGTCCGGGCTGATGAGGCTGCCAAAGCTGAACATGACGCTTCGACAGAAATCGCCGGGATACCTTTCTCGAGGCAGGAAGCTGCAACATTAGTGTCGGCACACGGTTGGCGCCTGCAGCGATCCCTCTGTAGAGGCCCCAGCCACCATTATGGGCCTCTGTAGAGACTTATCCGTCGTGTCACTGTAGTGTGCCACGAGACCTCAACAGGCAAGACGAAACATGTTTACACCGCATCCGAATAAACGTCGTATACACCAATTGGTTCAGGAACAATATCAGTCTGTGAGACTCATCGTTGCGTGTACAATGTAACGTCGTAGAAGACATCAATCACGTCCTCTGTGAGTGCATGATATACGCATCAGAGAGACCATCTCAGAAGACGGCCTTAAAACTACAACGAGACACGAATTTGGTGTTGACAGATGTTTTCGGCCTATGGCAGAGCATCTCCAGTGCGTTACACGACACAAAAGCGCTATTGGCATTGTTGCGGGCCACAGGCCTGAACGAAACTTTGCAAATAGTGCAGTGTGTGTGTGTGTGTGTGTGTAACTGTATGTGTTAAGTGTTTATCTCTGTATATATTACAGTTATCATCTGGTACCTGGAGTAGCATGTCAGGTGAACAACCAGTTCACCAGCGCTCCATGAAAATCTCTCTCTCTCTCTCCTATATTATTGTACAGAAAACGTTGAAGTAGTTCAGAAAAGACGCGTTTTTATTTCGAGTTACACCAATTACTGTGACGGAGGATCAACCACGTTTTTTTAGTCTTAGTGGTTTTTTGTGTAGCTTCAGCTGGATTACGCTTATCTCACGAATAAACCCCTCCGATGTACGGGAGTAGCTTCTGCTAATAGCAGAAAGAAAGAAGAAAATCTTCGAAGGCTTGAGGTTCATCTTCAAAGTAGAAGGCGATAGCACTGTCCCACCCGGTTTGGACAGCCAGCTCAATCGCTTGCCTGGTTTCAATTCTCGGTGGACACTTAAACTGTGCAACAAGAAAAGAAAAGTCTGTGGAGCCTGTAAACCAAATCTTTCAAGCTACATCAGAATTCCTGCTGCAAGTGCACTTGCGAAGTGTCCACTGCGACATAATCCTTCGTTTTGCGAGTTACATAGGCGCCCACTACGGATATGAAAAGCTATAAGCGCGCCTATACGCAGCTGCTCGCGTTTAGGTAGCTGTTATTGATAATGCTGATAAATTATGTCTGTTTTTTTTTGCAATTGATGGGTCTTGAAATAAAAAAATTCACATGTTCGGACGCTTGGGGTAATTGTACGCTATTGCGACGTGATAATACGGACTTTAAAGGCGCATCTTGCTCTACGTAAAAGTCATGTGATTTTTTGTAAAACAGTTTCAAGCACGGAGGTGTTTCTGTGGTAAAATATGCGCTTTACATTAAAAAAGTCCTAGATTCGATTTCCCCTTGAAGCAATACTTTTTTACTTGCCCTTATGCCGAATTTTCGCTCTCGGAAAAGGTTGCTTTTTTTCTCACAGCCAAAGACGCCGACGCCGACATCGGAATTTTCGCAAAACGAGTGATTTAATGCTCTCACTTTAGTAGAAAACGCCTCACAAAACAAAGTTTTTGTACCTGTTGGGGATAGAGAAGGAAGGCACTTTAATACTCGCTCAGAATTATTGAATTGAAGCGCACGTAGTTACGAAGCTACAGCTCTGTGAACACATTCCCTAACTCAATGCAAGGTTTTCTAAGATGCCCAGACAGTTTGACAGCCTACTTTTTTGTAATTGAAAAGTCTGCAATAAAAAAAAAAGGAGGGTACGGAGAGAATAGATGAACCTGGTTGCAACGTTAAATTAGAACTTGAATGAATTTCCAGATAACCTAAAAGCGGGATTGTAGGTATCTGCATGATTCTCTAAAGAGATCACTGAAGTAAAAAAAAAAAAAACTGCCGGAATTTTTTCGCCCCTTCGCGATGCTTCATGTGCAGTGAACTATGAAGCTGTCATTTCAGACAGTGTTCTTTTTTTATTATGTTGTGTCAAATTTAAAGGGGCATAAATAACAATTGAGAAAAAATATAGATTGCGAAAAAATAATTTTCATTGGCGCTATTTAGAAAAACTTTCCTTCCGCGATCGTCAACCAATTTGAAGGTCTGCGAGCTGAGATTGGACAGGACGCACCTGTCTATGTTTTTACGTCGTTTTATTCTGAGGTAATGAAAAAAAAACTTTTCCATTCACACAAAGTAAGCCAGAAGCCACTGCTCAGATTTAGAAACAAGAAGTAAAGAGGAACAAAGAGGCTTCGTGCTCTGAAAAGAATCAGTGAAGCATGCGCGCACGATTGCTATATTCTTAGTACTATCGATTTCGCTACCTTCACAGCCCACTCCAAAGGTTCGCTTCATTGCTATAGCGAAATTTCATTCTTTATAACGTTAAAAATACAACGAAGGGACTGTACAACAAAAACAAATTTGGCTTTTATAGGATTCGGTGATATGAGACGTCTCAACAGGCTGGAAGGGTTTCATAGAGAGCCACGGTGAGAGGAGAAAAATAGAGCTACCTTTAAAAAGTGAAACTAATTTAAGTATGTCCAGGCATAAAACTTCTCTTGGAACTTCATCCAACAGACAGTAAATTTTTTATATTTAATGGAAAAAAAAGAACTCGAGCAATAATATAGACGT